TGCCTCCTGCACACCCCATACTTGGGTTCAAGCCTGCAACCTGAGCATGTGCCTTGACTGGGAATTGAACCTGCAACCTCCTGGTGCATGGGTCAATGCTCAACCATTGAGCGACACCAGCCTGGCTGTCTGATGCTTTTCTCAGGTTAGACTAGGGTCATGTTTTTTTAGAAGGAAGACTACGAAATAGAGTGCCCTTCTCGTCACTTTATATCAGGGTACATACCATCAACATGTCTTATCACTGCTATGTTAAGTGGCTGCCTGTCTGAGGTAGTGTTTGTCAGGTATTCTCCCCCCCCCCCCCTTCCATGCTTAACTCTTTGGAAGGAAGTCACTATGCTTATCCTCCACGTACAGAAGGGAGAGTTGTGCTTCACCTCCTTAAAAGGAGAGACTCTCCATCAATTATTTGGAATTCAGTACAGATGTTTTGCTCTTCTCCATTTATTTATGTTACTATGAACTCATGGATATTTTATACTGAGTCATAACCCAATACTATGTTATTTTGTTGCTCAAAATGTTCCAGTTCTTCCAGTGGGCTCTTGTGTCCCTTATGACATGCCCCCATATTGCCTGTGTGTGTCCTTTATAATCACACCCTTACTTTGTTGCATGACAAGACGCTCCAGGCTCATCTTGTAATACATCCCCTGCCCTGACCCTGGAATCAGCCCAGTTTCCTTTACTGGAGACAAGACCTGGGCTTGAGGTGCACTTTTGCTACTGGGATGTCATTGCTTCTGGGCCATCTCAGTTGAGAGGGCAAGGACATCATTTGTGTGCTAATTTTTTAATGACTGGTTCTCTTTTCAAGGACACACTACTTTTTCATTCTCTCTGGAGCCTGCAGTGATATGTATTTTTTTCCTTTGGGAATTTTCATCGCCATATAGTCTGTTTCTTTCCTGATGCAGTTTTCTGTTCAATTGTCTTAGCTTTCTTTGCCACGTCACCTTGGACTGTCTGGTCAGATTCAAGGTGGGGGGATAGTTCTGAGCACACAGTTGGGCCAATTGATGGTGAGATTCACTGCTGAGCCATCTGAAGGAGTTAGGGGTTTGTTGTTTTTTGTTTTTGTTTTTTGGAGGTGGGCAGATGCCTTTCCTTTAGGCTTTAAGACTGGTCAGGCTTCCAGAGAACAGCAAGGGTCCAGAGCTGGTGCTCCATGAGCTGCCTGGAGGGGGAAGGCTGAGAGCTACTGAAGTCAGCATCTGCTTACAGAGCCACCCTACAGCCCTGTTTTCATAGCTCGCAGGCCCTCAGCTGTGCCCGGGGCTCGGACACCCTATTTCCTATCACCAGAAAGTAACCCCCAGACTCCTGTCTTTCCCAACTGTGTCTGCCTTTCCTCATGCCAGAACTGTCTGTGGTTTTACCAGGAAGCACTTGTGGGTGTTTTGTGTGGATGTTTTTCTCTCGGATACACAGTCAGCAATAGGATAGCTGTGGGGTATAACAGGTGTATGATTAATGTTATCAGAAACGGTCACCCTGTTTTCCAAAGTGGACATACCATTTTGCTTTGCCACCAATAGTGTACGAGACTTCCAATTGCTCCACATCATCGCCACTTGACATTGTCTGTCTTTTTTTATTATAGCTGTCCTAGTGGGTGTGTAGTGGTCGCTCATTGAGATTTTGATTTGCATTTCCCTACACTCTTGAAATTGTTTTAAAATCAGTCCCTTCCTCTTGACACCTGCTGCCATGGTCCCAGGCCAAGCCTCACCTTCTCTTAAAAAGGCCTTTCAATAGCTCCCTAACTGGTCTTGTCGCCATAAGCCCTCATCCCTGCAACGTAACGTGGCCTAGTAATTTCCAAAATAACTCACATCACTCACTTCCTTTCTTAACACTCATCAACAGCTGTCCTTTACCGCCTCAGCCAGCGCCCCCAAGAGCCAGCAGGTAAGGGATGAGTGAAGCTGCAGCCCGGTGTGGGTAACAGGGAGTGGTGGGCACTGTGGTAAACTGGGAGCTTTGCCTACATGGCAGCTGCCGCTCAGTTCCAGCTGACCACTGCCCCTGGGAATGCAGGCCCCATGTTGCCAGAGCGTCAACTATGCAAGTGAAACCACCAGTTGAGATGTTTCAAGTAAAAGCAATAAAAAAAGAAAAACAACTCTCTGGGCTAATCAAACCATTTCAGTGAGTTGAAGCCAGCTCAGTGCTGCCCACCCGCCTCAAGGTCCTCATAACTCTCCTGTCTCCAGGAAGAGCAGGTGACGTGTGGTTCCCTGAGCACAGCGTGCAGGTCCTCACGTCGGAACTTTGGCTCTGAGTGCCCTTCCCACCTCAACTGGCCCAGCACATTCTTGTGGGTCTTCAGCTCCATCCGGGCTTCCTCCTGACGGAGGCCTTCCTCACCTGCTTCTCCCCGCCTGGCAGGCCACATCAGCTGTCAGCCTCGCTCACGTGTCCTCCCCAAATTCTCCTCACACTTGCGGCAGGATCCTCTCATTTGTCGGCCTCTAACAAAATTCTGTACTCTTCCAAGCATGGACCAGTGCCCGACTTGGCACCTCAGTTCTGTTCACTGTATTTCATAAACAAAACAAAAAAAGCAGAATCCTTCCAGAAAACTCAACATGAAACAGGTCCAGGTGTATGTGTGTACAATGATTTTGGGTACCCACTTTGCACGGGGTGAGTGCTGTAAACTCGGGGCTGCAGTGTTTGGGAATGGGTGTCCCCTCCTATTCTGAGAGGAAGCACCCACAAGTGCTTCCTGCTAAAACCACAGACAGTTCTGGCAGCCAGACTTCACTCGTTTCCCATCAGTCCACATTGATGGTGGAAATTGTGCTTCCCTGTTTTCTGTTGTGCACCTGGAGCAGGTGGCTGGTGAGGCTGAGGGGAGGAGCAGGAGCTGCGATTTCAAGCAGGACCTAGTCCTAGGGCCATGCTCCATTTCAGGAAACTCCCTCTGGTGGCCAAGGCGGGGGGTGGCCTAAGAGGGATACCGCGCTGGATCCCTTCCTCTACCCCACCCCTCCTTTGAGGCTCTGGTGTCCCCCAGCCTGGCTCTGGATCACAGGCTTGCCACCCTCCCCAAACTCTGCCACCACGTTCCATATCCTCCTGCCCCCTGCCCTCCCCGCAGGCAGAATCCTGCTCCTTTCCCCCATGGTGGCCCCCACCTTGGCCACCCTGTAGGCCCAGGCGTCCTGTGACAGCTGCTCCTTCCCCAGAGTCCTCCCACTCCAGTAAAGGACCTCTCCGCCCCACCCTCGCCCCCCTTCTCACGCCACGTGCCTAGCCTCCGAGCCCCTCTCCCACCGTTGCGTATTCAAACGATCGGGTGTTTATCCAGAAGATGCGGCAACCCCCAGTACCCCGGCCTTCCCCACCTTTCCATAGGACCCAGGCTGCTGGAATCCGAGGGGCCGGAGGACTGCGAGAGAGGCCTCAAAGGTCAGTGTAACCGACCCCAGGCCCTAGGGAGCCCTCGGCCCTGCTCTCCTTCCCCCACTGTGGACCCGGCCCTTCTCCGAGACTGGCTGGACCCCTGGCCAAGCGCACCAGCCTATTCTCCGTTCCCCTCCGCCACCGACCGACAGGGAACACTCGTCTGCACTCGGCCACCCCCAGGGCACCCCCTTTCCCAGGCCCGATTTCTGGCGCCCCTAGAAGCCCGTTCAGAGCGAGCAGCGGAGTCCAAGGCCCCGCCTCCCGGAGGCCATCACACGCCGGAATCCTGGGCGCCGTGGCCCGGGCTCTTCCCCATAACGGGCCGGCTC